AATAGCTCACTTGTATCTAAGGGATTGCCGGTTCAGGCCGAAGAAGCAATGTATAATATAAATATATGTATGTATATATACATATATGTATATGCATAATATAAATATATGTATTTATATATACATATATGTATATGCATACTCAATAATTCAACGTCATTGCACTCACAGACCAAAAGAGACTTTATTTTGGGTCTATACATTCATATGATATCATGAGCAGTGGTTTGGCCGTGGGTATTTCACCAGTTACGCTTCTAAAGGCAAGGAGAATACCAATAAACCCCCATAAAACGTCAAAAGAGGTTGTAAGGAAGATTAACATCAAGAAACAACAAATTTGGAAATAGCAATAGAAAAGAGGATAAAAATAAAATTATAAGGAGCTACAAGCCCAATATATTGTCGTTTTCAGAAAAAAGAAACAATCTATTACCTTGGAAATTTGGTGATGATGAATTGTCCTCTGTAGAAATCAGTGCAAGGCCACAACGTCGCGTCGAGAAGGTTTTTGCCTTTCCGACTCTGTTGTAGTTCGAAGATTTGTAGTTTGAAGACATATAGTAAGATGGGCTTTTAACTGGTCCTCTGTAGAAATCAGCGCAACGCCACAACGTTGCGTCGAGAGGGTTTTTGCCTCGGGAAAAATTCATAACTACCATAATTCATAATTATCTTTCCTAAAAATTATGTATGAATTCATAATTATCTTTCCTAAAAATTATGTATGAATTTATATTAGAAAATATTGTGACTTAAATTAAGGGTTAGCCATAGAATAATAATAAATATTCTCTCTCACCTTATCACTTCCAAAAATAAAGCTAATCAATTATTTCCCACCAGCATTCTCTCACCTCCTATCAAACTGAAATAACTTCATCTTTTTCGAAGAAAATTCGAGTCTCACGAATTCAACTACTTCATCTATGTAGAATCAAGTATATTCAACTACTTCATCTATGTAGAATCAAGTATACATTTTTGTAATTGTAGGAATTGGTTCAAATTATTAATCAAAAATTGGAAAATGAAAATGTGTGTAAAAGTAAAAAATGAAAAGGTGTGACTACGTGTCAATTTCGACCAAATATTCGGACTTGATTCGATGGTCAAATTACAAAAGTAAATAGATCAATTTATTCTACTCGTCAAGTAGATCGTCGTGGTATGCTTGGAACCTCGAAACCAATTCCAGATAAATAAGAAATTGCGGATCAAAGTTAAAAGGAATGAAGTGTTGCAACTTTTCAAAAGGTGCAAGTTTTGGCCAAGTTTTACAACTTTTTTGAAAGAATGCATGTTTTGGCCTACACTACTTCATTTGCACACTTTCTACATCTATAAATAGAACCCTATGGACATGGTTTTGGGTACACCAATTGCATTGAGCATTCATTCTCCTCTTGCAATTTTCTCCTTTCTAATTCCATAGCATTTCATACATTCCCTTTGTAGGGGGAAATTCTGTCAAAAGTTCGTTGGTTTCTTGTAGTTTGAAGTGTTACTACCACAAGTTGTGAATCCATTGTATCTTGGGAGACAAGTGTCATTCACCGTGAGCACCGTAGCGGGGCAATTTGTCTTAAGGAAAAAGATAACGTCTCGCCTTGGATTATTCTCTATTTCTACTCTTTCTTAATCCTTATTTTGTGTAATCTTTATATCGAAACTCTATCCAAATTTTCATTCATATAATTGCGTTTTGATCACGCTCTTGCGGGTTAAAATTGATCAAACAAATATATCAAAAATCAACCATTACATAAGCCCTTTTTCTAAGTTGTCTCCAACAATCTTAAGACAAATTTTATGTCTTCGTGGTTGGTTGTGGACAAACATTACTTTGTTTGAATAGTGTTTTGTGTACTATTCCTCCACCGATATTATCATCATTTTGTTGAACTTCTGTTTGTGCAACAGAAATGACTACCATCAGGACTCATCAAGTCAAAATGGTTCCAATAATGTGGTACCACTCATGGCCATAACGTTGCATAATACTACTATCCCACATGGGAAAAAGACTGAAAAATTTGTAGGAGTCGACTTCAAGAGGTGGCAACAAAAGATGTTATTTTATCTCGCCACTCTTAATTTGGCTAAATTTCTAAAGGAAACTGCACCGGCTACACAAGAAGGGGAAAATAATTGTGAATCGATTATTGCTTTGGATGTATGGAAACACTCGGACTTCCTATGCAAGAACTATATCCTAAACGCATTGGATAATACACTATATGGGGTGTATAGTTCAAAGGAATCAGTCAAAGGACTATAGGATTCTTTGGACTACAAGATGGTGTATTCCAAAATTGTAATTAGCCAAGTGCAAAAGATTCAAGTCTTGTTGCACGACATCCATGCCAAGAAAATAGAATTGAGTGAATCATTCCAAGTGGCTGCCATTATTGAGAAACTCCCTCCTATGTGAAGAGATTTCAAAAATTACCTCAAGTACAAATGTAAGGAAATAAACTTGGAAAAATTGATTGTGCGCTTGAAGATTGAAGAAGACAATCGAAAAATCAAACAAAGGACGGTTGATCAAGATGGTGCAATTTTTTTTGAAATGGAACCAAAGGTAACAAACAATAAACGAAAGGCTCCTAATTATGCATCACGAAGAGACAATTCCAAGAAAGCTAAGAAGTTCAAAGAGAATTGTTACAACTGTGACAAGGCTGGACATTGTTTAAGTGAATGTCAAAAACCAAAGAAGAATGCACAAGCCCACATGATTGCAAATAACACTCTATTCGATGGACTGCAAGAAATGAGTTTATCTGCAGAAGTGTCCGAATGTAACATGATTGAAAATACTAGAGATTGGTGGATTGACACCGGCGCTACCCGCCACGTGTGTGCGAACAAGGAGATGTTCTCCAACTATCAAGAATTGAATGTGGAACAACTATACATAGGAAATTCTGCAAGTTCCAAAGTTGAAGGACAATGCAAAGTCACTTTGAAGATGACATCCGAGAAGAACTCGTCCTCAACAATGTCCTACATGTTCCGGATATAAGAAAGAATTTAGTGTCTGGATCTCTATTTAGGAAAAATGGTTTTAAACTTATATTTGTATCCGATAAATTTGTGTTGTCTAAGAATGAGATGTATGTAGGGAAATGATACATGTGTGATAGAATGTTCAAGTTGAAAATTCTTACAATTGCACCGAAACAAGTCGTTATGAATAAAACTATAAATTCTGTTTACTTGCTTGAGCCTTCATGTTTGTGGCATAGTCGATCAAGACATGTGAATTACAAATCGTTGCGCAAACTAATGAATCAAAGTTTAATTCCGGTTCATAAAATCAATCCTAATCATAAATGTGAAATATGTGTTGAAGCAAAATTGGCTAAAACACCGTTCCATTCAATACAAAAGAACACAACCCCTCTTGAATTAATCCATAGCGATATATGCAATCTAAATTTTGTACAAACTCAAGGTGGTAAGAAATATTTTGTGACATTTATTAATGATTGTACAAAGTTTTGTTATGTCTTTCTTTTGAGAAGTAAAGACGAAGCCTTAGATGCATTTAAAACCTATAAGGCTGAAATTGAAACACAACTTGAAAAACGAATAAAAAATATTCGTAGTGATAGAGGAGGTGAATATGGGGCAACGTTTGAAGACTTTTGTTCTGAACATGGAATTGTTCATCAAACAACGGCACCTTACTCTCCTCAATCAAATGGTGTTGCATAATGCAAAAATCGAACACTTAAAGAAATGATGAATGTTATGTTAATAAGTTCGAATTTACCACAGAACATGTGGGGGGAGGCTATTTTAACGGTAAATAGTCTTCTTAACAAAATACTTCTTAAGAAAATGGAAGAAACACCATATGAACTATGGAAATGCCATCCTCCATCTTACCAATACTTAAAAGTGTGGGGGTGTTTGGCTAAGGTTGAGGTACCTAAGCTTAAACAAGTGAAAATCGGTCTTAAAACGATATATTGCATATTTATTAGATACGCCAATAATAGTAGTGCATATCGATTTCTTGTACACAAATTCGAAATGCAAGACGTACACGAAGGGACCATAATTGAATCAAGGAATGCGACATTCTTTGAAAATATTTTTCCTTACAAAGATAAGAAAAATACGAGTTTTAACAAGAGAACATATTAAACACCAATGGAATTTCAAATGAGGAAGAACCAAGGCGTAGTAAAAGGGCTAGAACTTCCAAAACGTTTGACTCAGATTTTCTAACCTATATGGTAAAGGATGATCCAAAGACTTTCGATTGAGCAATGTCTACACCGAAAGCACCGCATTGGAAAGAAGCTATCAATAATGAGATAGATTCTATAATACAAAACCATACATGGAAGTTGGTTGATTTACCTCCTAGTAACAAGCCTTTAGAATGCAAATGGATATTCAAAAAGAAATTGAAAACTGACGGATCCATAGATAAATATAAGGTTAGATTGGTTGTTAAATGATATAGGCAAAAAAAAAAGGACTTGATTTCCTTGATACCTACTCACCTGTGACTAGAATCACGTCGATAAGATTGTTAATTGCGATTGCGATAATACACAATCTTGAGATTCATTAAATTGATGTAAAAACAGCATTCCTAAACGATGAGTTAGAAGAGGAGATTTACATGAAGCAACCTGAAGGGTTCGTTTCTCCTAACTAAAAATACAAAGTGTGTAACCTTGTTAAATTCTTGTATGGATTAAAACAGGCTCCTAAACAATGGCACCAAAAGTTTGACAAAACAACGTTGTCAAATGGATTCAAGATCAACGAATGTGACAAATGTGTATTTATTAAACAAACACCGTATGCCTATGTAATTGTATGTCTATATGTGGACGACATGTTAATAAGGGGCAATAGCCACAAAATGTTGCCTAACACCAAAAAGATGCTAACAAAGCATTTTGATATGAAAGATATGAGTGTGACACATGTAATTCTAGGGATTAAAATCTCTAGAACGCAGGATGAAATTGTACTTTCACAATCTCACCACATAGAAAAAGTATTTAAGAAGTTTGACGTGTTTGAGGAAAGTCCTGCGAGAACTCCTCTTGATCCGAGTATGCACTTAGCCAAGAATAGGGGAGAAAGCATATCACAACTAAGGTATTCACAAATAATTGGTAGTCTTATGTATATTACGAACTGCACTCGATCGGGTATTGCTTCTGCGATGAATAAATTTAGTAGATTTACAAACAATCCAAACCGTGATCGTTAGAAGGCTTTGACGAGGGTTCTAAGGTACTTGCAGTATACCTTAACCTATGGATTACACTTCACAAGATATCCAGCGGTACTAGAAGGATATTGTGATGCGAATTGAATATCCAATATGAAGGATTCCAAATCCACTAGTGGTTATGTATTCACTATTGGTGGAACTGCTGTATCATGAAAATCAACAAAGCAAACGTGCATAGATCGATCAACGATGGAATATGAGTTTATTGCTTTGGACAAAACTAGAGAAGAAGCATAATGGCTTCGAAATTTCTTAGAAGATATTCCATGTTTGCCCAAGTCAGTACCTGCGATAAGTATACATTGTGATAGTCAATCAGCAATTGGAAGGGCTCGAAGCAGCATGTATAATGGTAAGTCTATACATATTCATCGTAGACACAACATCATTGAGCAACTGATCTCAAATGGCGTTATCTCTATAAATTATGTAAAACCAAAGGAGAATATTGTGGATCCACTTACGAAAAGTTTGCCTATAGATCAAATGTGTTGCCTATCAAGAGGAATGGAATTAAAGCCTACTACGTAAGAGTTTTTGCAATGGTAACCCTACCTTACTGACTGGAGATCCCAAGATCTTGGTTCAAAGAGACAACTACGTTGCGAAAATTTCATGAAGCACTTAGGAAATTAGAATTCCTAACTCATTCCTATGATACTAAAGTGCTTTCTGCAGAGTGAATAGAGGCTAAGATTATCTTTTAATGATTCATATATCTTGATTAAGTGAAGTGGAGTAGGGCAGAATACTCTTAATAGGAGGTCATCGATGTAAGTGTGAAGTAGAGTCGTTTTGATAAGAATTGTTTAAGGTTTGAATTCTCTAAACACTTATGAAACCAAGAAGGCTTCAGGGTCAAAATGAACCAAGTCATGAGAATTAAGTACAGAATAGAGAAGATATTTGTGTGAGTACTGTTGTCTTGACTTACACCAAAAGCTGAGTGGTTCAAGACCTATGGTTCATCAATTAGCCGAGTAAGTCCGATAGTATTTCACTAAGGGAGGTTCAAGGCCAGAAGCCACCATCCCTGATGCAGTATTTTTTCGCACCCTCTCTACATTGCATTATATCATCGCATTTGCATATACATACCCAAATTTTTATTTATATGGGGGATTGTAGGAATTGGTTCAAATTATTAACCAAAAATTGGAAAATGAAAAGGTGTGTAAAAGTGACAAATGAGAAGGTGTAACTACGTGTCAATTTTGACCAAATATTAGGACTTGATCCAATGGTCAAATTACAAAAATAAATAGATCAATTTATTCTACTCGTCGAGTAGATCGTCGTGGTATATTTGGAATTTCGAAACCAATTCCGGATGATTAAGAAATTGCGGACCAAAGTTGAAAGAAATGAAGTGTTGCAACTTTTCGAAAGGTGCAGGTTTTGGCCAAGTGTTGCAACTTTTTTGAAAGGATACATGTTTTGGCCCACACTACTTTATTTGCACCTTTTCTATATCTATAAATAAAATCCTATGGATATGATTTTGGGTACACCAATTACATTGAGCATTCATTCTCTTCTTACAATTCTCTTCTTTCTAATTCCATAGCATTTCATACATATCCTTTGTAGAGGGAAAATTCTGTCAAAAGTTCATCGGTTTCTTGTAGTTTGAAGTGCTACTACCACAAGTTGTGAATCCATTGTATCTTGGGAGACAAGTGTCATTCACCGTGAGCACCGTAGCAGGGCAATTTGTCTTAAAGAAAGATATAACGTCTCACCTTGGATTATTCTCTATTTCTACTCCTTCTTAATCCTTGTTTTGTGTAATCTTTATACCGAAACTTTGTCCAAATTTTCATTCATATAAATTGTGTTTTGATCATGCTCTTGCGAGTTAAAACTGATCAAACAAATATATCAAAAAATCAACCCTTACATAAGCCTTTTTTATAAGTCGTCTCCAACAGTAATCACAGATTCACAATATCTTCATCATTTTTTTTGATTGGGCAGAGTATTGAATAGTAACTTACATACTCACAATTCCTAGAGTTCGAAAGAAATTTGTTCGTCATTTATAAATAATATTTCAGTCGGGAATAGGGAAAAAATAGGGCTTTTCGAGATTGAAGATCCTATTTTTTTGGGCATGATCTTGAAATTTACAAAGCATCGATTTCAGCTCACTCCAACGAATATAGTGGATTCTGGTATTCATACTCACCTAATAGGAATAATTTTTAGTTGAATCTTATTTCATTCGTAGTAATTCGTAGAGGAATGTCTCTTATGAAAAAAACAATAACTTGCAAATGTTACTACCATTATACTAAAAATTGAGAGTGGATTACCAATTGAGAGTATTTGATTGTGACATGCATTTTGCTTAATTTGAATTTTCAATTCATAGTTTTATCTAATTCTGCTAAAAATGAATTTTGATGAAAATATAGATGTTGTGTCTATGATAATTTTTACATTATAAATTGGATAGCGGATTTATAATGTTTCCAATTTATAATGTGTGATTAGTACCCAACATATTTATTTACTTTGCGAATGTATATACCAACAACAATCTAACGTGTGCATTCAGTCTGCAAAATTGGTTTATTTATTACTTTTTTGTGACCAATAGACTTATTTGTACTCATTTGGAGGGGAAAATATAATCAATTCGTGACTTCAGTCTGTTCATTACTTTTCGTAACCAATAGACATACTAGCACTTATTTCGTGTACTCGTTGTGTAGAATATATTAAATATGTTACTTCAATTTATTCGCTACTTATATATTTAGTCCGTGACCTAAATTTATTCACTACTTATATATCTAGTTCGTGACCTCTAAAAATTGACTTCTACGTGGCATCTTTTTGGTGAATNACACTATTTGCAACAAAGATTAAGATGTCCACATTTCAAATTGTGACTTGAGTACAAATACATAAAAGGTCTCAATTTAAAAACCATGCTATTTGACCAAAGTATTTAACAATCTTACAACCACATTGCTGATTGTGACCTGTTTTCCATGGAATATAAGATCTATAAATGTGACTTGTCGCTTGTTATTAAAGTAGAATGTTTACTATGTTTTGTATAGTTTATACCTGCAAATTGCGGCCTTATATCAATGCTTAATGAGAGCTCTAACTCTATTCTATAACTAACAATAAAACTTGTAACCTGAGACATGTGACCAGTAAACAATGACATGTAAGCAATGCACATTAACCTGTGACATAATTTTGAATGTAAAATGTGAACATAAATCATTGACCTGTGACCATTGCATATGGACCTATGGCTTGGACCAATGCACTTTGAATTGTGATCAGTGACATAAATTAAAATATAAAATCTAAACATAAATCAATGAACTGTGACCAGTGCATACTGACTTGTGTACATTAATATGTGACCTTAAAATGTGATGTGACTTGTGAGCATTGGCATATGAGCAATGCACATTGACTTGTGACATAAATTAGAATGTAAAATGTTGACATAAATCAGTGATCTATGACTATTGTATATGACCTGTGCTCATTATACTTGTGACATAAATTAGAATGCAAAGTGTGAACATAAATCAGTTAATTGTGATCAGTGCACATTGACATGTGACCTTAAATCATAATGTAAAATGTGACATGTGACCAGAGACTTGTGACGTCATGTGGCACGTGATCTATGGCAAATAACAATTAAAATCACACATGTACCAATGACAAATAACACTGCTGAAAAGCAAATACCTTCAAAATGAATAAAATTTCATCATCAACATTAACAAACTAAAACGGTTGTATTACTCATATTGAACATAGATCCAATCGTAGACATTATAAAAAAAAATTAAACAAGAAAACTGATGTTGAATTGAAAATACAGTAACCTATTTGGAAACAATTTATCTATATGATGTTATCTCCTTTCTTCTTACCCTACTTTGTGACCTGCCTGATTTGCCGATGTTTAGACAGCAGTGAAGCTATATCCAACCTAGCTCTATTAGCATCAAATGTCATCGGCATACTTGAAATACCATCAGAAAGTAAGTATTCCGCATATTTAATCATGAAGATTCCACAATCAAGGCTGACGAAAGTCACAAAGCTTTATATTAGGAATGAACTGTAAATTAAATCCCATGTTTGTAGTTGAAATTTTTGGTCACAAACTTACCCATTTTGTTGATGTGGAATGCCATCAACAATGAATACCTTCAACTCCATTAAATTATCATCCCAATATCGGACGTGCTCTTCCAGATACCTAAAACATTCATCTTGTGCAGGATAAATTTGACGAATGGTTCGATCACGGTAAGAACCATGTTCTCCCTATAGCTCTTCACAAATCAGACACAACAAACTAGGTCACAATCTCACAAGTTCATTCGTCACGATCACAATCACATAGATATAGGTGACAGTCAAAATATGTGATGCATCATTTACATGTTTAGTTATGTGCTATTTAAGATAATTATGTTTACATAATTCAAGAAACCATGATTTAATTGAATATGAATCTCAAGAACAATCAAACAACCCAATTGATACAAATTGAAGTGCCTAATAGCTGACTGCATCATCCACCAACTTCAAAACTCATCATATTCACACTCCGAAAGAAAATGATAATCCAACTTCCCTTTTGCAAACAAAAATATGCTTGCACAACCGATATCATTTAAATAACCTAGATTTCGGATAAAACCCACCCTCTGGACATTTTCATAATATTGTGAAAGAATTTTCTCCATTTTTTTTGTTCGTCTTTGACCAAGAGAATAAACAATAACTGATACATCTCTGTTGAGAGAGAGAGAGAGAGAGAGAGAGAGAGAGAGAGATTCAATTAATTAAATATGACTAGTCCACACATGTTATATGTGACTTCACGCACCTTTTATTGGTCAACGGTGGGTGACGAGCGACGAAAAGTGGAGATGAGGGGCGGAGGTGTGAATAATCTGAATCTAATTTTTTGGGTTTCCTTTAATCAATGCAAAACATGTAAGAAAATATGAGAGAGGGGGCTAAACCAAGTTCTCTGAGCAAAGAATTGCAACTATTACTCGTAAAATCCCTCCAAAAATGCCAAGCCATTAGAATTTCACTCTGCACTTGTCTGTAAACAAAAATAAGAAAAACTTCTATAGCTTATAAGTGTGATTGGTCTTGCGTGGATGTTCAGTGATCGAAGAATGTGCAATTGTTCTACCTCAATGTCGGTGTCAATTTGGGAGAAGATTGAAAAATGGATTTGATTTTCTCACTCTAATAAGTCTGTGATTTTGCAAACTTTTAAAATGGTAAATAATATTTAAATCTGGAATCAATTAAATCTTTATTTTATAATTTAGTTTTATATATGTTAACACACACACATACATATTGTTTGCTCGTGCAATGCACGGGCTTTGTTGTTTTTAAAGTAATGTTAACGTGTTAAATATAAATGCTTCAAATTCTCAAATTTCGAGGTTTTGGCATTTGTGCTTGTGCCACAAAATTTCAAGATTTTAACAATGAACATCTAATAAACAACATGCTTGAAAAACCAATATCATCGCAAAATACTGGCATCATAGAATTGAAAAACTATCCTTAATTCAAAAAAGATAAAGTGTAAATGCAAAATAAATAGGTATACTTAAGTTGAATGGCGACATACATCATCAAGATTTGGTCTCTCGGAATATGTAAATGTTGAAATATTAACATACCATTGTCCATGGTGTTGCATGCTCCATTTCCAAATTTTGATTCAGTATGACCAAGGATGATTCTCGAAAGAGTGTGGTCCTCCAAGTTCTGTAGTTGGACAATAAAGCCTAAACAATATGAAAACTTGGACTAACATGTGCAAGAACAAAATTGGATATCAATGTCAATAGAGGCTATATATTCTTACCATGAACTCCATGATCTTTACCATTGTAATGGCATGCATAAACAACCGCATGGGTGGACAATTTACCTAGTCCATCAGGACACCACTATTCGGAAAATAAGACAGAAAATATAGAACAAATTTGAGGAATTCGAGGAAGATACATAAAATATAGCATAAGAAATTAGAAACGTAAGTGGATAAGAAAACAACTATAATACAATAATTAGATGTGTAGTGAAAAAGCATTTGTCCCAATGTTTAACAGGAACCTGAAACATTACCAACCTCTTATCTATCATGTTTCTTACTTCGCTTAAAGTCAATGTTAGAGTATGAACTACAGATTCATCAGCCTTATGGTCAAATGTTGTAGTGGTTTCAAGACCTTGTATGTTGAAGCCATGACCAAGTTGAGTTTGTGCATAGCAGCAAATTTTTTGCATTTTATAGGTCAATGACAACCATTTTTGTTGTTGTACATCAATGCCATGTCCCTTCATGGCAGGTACAAACATTCCCACTATGACATATGCAGTGTGGTGCGAAATCGTACTCATGCATTGACTCGGGCCTGTAAAATAGAAAATATAAAAATTAAAATTAAATTCCAATTACATTCGAAATCAATAAACCTGCTAGTTCAACTATGCAAGTGTAGTAGCTCAATGTCAATTGTACCTCTCGTCTAAAGTACAACCACTATAGAGCCATTAATCCTTTTATTTTTACTCTTTGCCGTAGAGTAATACTGCTATGAGCCATCAACTCTCAATTTTTGTATCGTAGTATCTAAGCAATGGGTCAAACACGTGACACATATAATCATAGTATATTGATTAAAATGATACCTGGAAATAGGTTCAACAATGCCAATGAGGAAGTTATAGGCTTGTTTGTACACGGGAAAAAGTTTTGAGAAAAATTTGACCATCAGCACAAGCCCACAACGAATGATTGACATGATGAGGTTTAAGTTTCATTTTTGAAAAATCTTCCTTTTCTCTTAGCCTTAAAAACAAGTCCAAATCATTCAATTCACTTGATTCTTCCAATCCAGAAACAAAAATTAATTTGTAAAAATCCAGAGTTCAATAAAAATAATTTATTGTAAATACTCATGAATATCATTGTTGTCTAGGAAATGAAAAGCATCGTCTTCAGCATAAGAAGCCCTATACTCCTCCTAAAGTTCAACTGAATCAAAAATCAAAATTATTTGGTGGAAAAACAAATCTATAAAAAAAAAAAATTCGCAGAGAACCTTTGTAAAGTTGAGAGAGAAGAAGAAAGGATAAACCAAGAAAAAGAAGAGAAATAAACGAAGTTAAAGAAGAGAAATAATTAAAATATTGTGAAATTAACATAAGTAAACAATAAAAGTAATGGCTTCAGAATTTCATTAAAGAAGCTCATATCATCGTCAAACTCAACTAAAAATTGCAGATTTCGATCCTTGGACCAATTTATTTCTCTCACTCTCTCTCTCTCTAAAAAGCAAGTACCATTAAAGGGTGAAATGAGAAAATATAAGAAAAAGCATAGGGAATTTTTTAAACCATTCTTTAAAACTTGTGACATGAAACTATTATAAGAGAAAAAGAAATAGTTTACATGTAGACTTGCCACATATAAAGGGGTCTGTAATTGCAGCCATTGTTGCTCTGATGCTCGAATTTTAAGGTTACCTAAACACTCAGCAGCGTTTGCATCCCACAGTCGAACTTTGTATCTAAACTTATACTTGAAGAACTTCACTATGGAGTGGATGGAATCTAACCAGCAGAGGACCAAGCAACAATGACGCATTAAATGATTTCATAAAGTTGAAGCTAAATAAAGCAACGAAAACATCCAATTATCTAATACATGGAAAATCTATTGTTAAAGGCAGATGTTAAGCAGCAATAGGATCCTAACACTATGCAAAATGTTTTCAGCAGAATACTAAGGTACTTATTCTAAAAATGTACGTATGAGAAATGGTTTGGATGTAAGTAAACATGAGCCACATATTTGCATAGTTTTATTTCAAATATGTTTGTGATTTTTAAATAGTACATTAACCTTGAATCTTCAATGAATGCATTAAAAATAGCATCAGGAACTAGAGTGGTAACTAAAGGTATTATGTAACCATTCAGGAATTTTGCAGAATAAGAAATATATGGCAAATGGCTGAGCAATTCTTAAGAATACTAAAAAATATATATATACGGCAGCAATTAAATAATTACATGTTAAGTAGGGGAAGACGATGTACAATTACTTTTCGATGGTAAAATACCTGAATATTATTAAAAGTTTAAAGAAGAAAAATGTTGATTTTAATTAACTTTTTTCTCCAAACATGTTTAAAATAACTTTTTTTTAATTTGTAAAAAAATAATATAAATTAGTTTGAAAGCAACCAAAAAAATGCTGAAGTGGCCTAGATAAAATGGATAAAATATCATCATAATTAAAAAATCCATATGCAATACAATCTTTAAAAATAAAAAAATAATAATTAAAAATGTTTTAAATAATTGTTTTGCACCACAATCTTTACAATAAATGCATGTCAGTAATACATATGCAATACACAGTACATTTAATTGGTCAGAACTTCAGATAAATAAATGGACTAATAAAAATATGTAAGCATAAAAGATAGAGGAAAGATGAAGCTATTTATTAGTAGAGGAACAGAGTGTAGAAATCTTAGGAAAATTATTAATAGTAGAGGAGACAAGAAGCAAGTTACTTGTAGCCAACCTAAAGGATTATTTCTAGCAAAATCCCATAATTTATTTGGGCAGTTTATCAGAGTATAGGCATGCCATCTAATTGGAGAATTCTAAGAAATAATATCTCTAAGTTCATTAAACTGCCAAGATTTGAGAAGTTCTCATTGAACTAATATATGCATAAATTAAGAACATCAAAAATTGCTCTATGCATCTTACTTAACTCAACTATCAACATGCCAAACTATGCTTAGACTGGTTCAAAAATTATTCCCTGGTGTAACAAAAGGCACCAAAATCCTCTAGCCACCTCTATGTAAAATTCTATCATCTTTTTCTCTATGCTCATCCTATAAATTGCCTAACCCTCTTCTCGTAGGAGAGAGAGAGTGCAAATCCAACTTCTCCTTAGCATTCAAAATAACTAATTTATATTTTCCAAGGTATTTACATGTGAATATAAAGAAATCTCACGAAATTATTTTTAAAAAAATGATAATTTATGAAAATTCAATAAAATTGCAACAAATTATATTCGATCATTTAAATAATATCTATTTTAAAAATTAAGGGTAGTTATTTTTCTAGGTTATTCGTTTAACTACTCTAAAAAGAACTAACGTAATTAAACAAAAAAATTTCAAACAACACATATAATTTGGGTTCAAAAAATTTAGAATTATTTTATAATGGAAGCCTTCATTTTTCTTTCGAAGTTGATTGATGATTGGTCATATAAATTTCAAATCATGAAGACAACACTTACCAGTATCAAGCTAAACATGCCTAAAAATACTCGATGATAATTATGTCCAAATGTTATCTAAGCATGAAAATTGCTATAATTTGAATTTTTGAATTAACAATGTGATTGTGATTTGCTACCAGTAAACAATGTGATATGCTAAGACAACTCTTCTTAGAATACTTAATCAATGAATTTCACCATTCTTCATTGATGCTGCTGAGATTACTTTATAATGAAGCATTTTTGTAATTTAAACTGCGACGAAAGAAAAGAGAGCTCACCATTCTTATTTTTCTATTACTAATTTTTCTGTCAATATTCTTGCTTCATAATGATCAAATATAGGAAAGGTATAGATTAGAAATATTTATAATTTCCAAATTTCCAAATTGCTAGTTGTTTATCAAATTTGGAAAATCATACAATTACCACTTTGTTAGATACCAATTTTACTGCAAGCATATAATGAGTACAAATTTCACCTGGCTGTAATTTATATCAAAAGTTATATATCTAAAATTCGAAAAACTGGAAATGGGGAAACCCCAATTCATATACTTATAAACCACCCCACCACCTCTCACCACCAAGAGAAAAAGCAAAAAGACAACCCAATCAAAAAGCCATAACACGCTGGGAATCTCAATGTACCTGCACATCTTTAACTTGCATCTACTGTACGAGTTCAGTGAAAATACCTACAGCAAGTAGAATAATGTAGAAAGTTTTAGACACCGTCACAAAGAAACCACACTGTATCTAAGCCGTTATAGAGAAATGCAAGAATAAACTATATGGAAAAACCAAAATTCTAAAATCCTTAAAATGAAGCTAAAGAATTTTGAAAAGAACAGAACAGCTTAAAAAAGTGGTGTCATCATAATGTTTAACATCTTAAGGGCACCGATGAGTCAGCGGTCTAATACAAATAACTGCTGCAGAAAGATCTAGGAGTGGAACTTGAAAACAAACTGAAGGTTCGAAAATTCCATTACCAACTAGAAGAGGGACTTCTAGGTACAGAGAAGGGTAAAGAATATACTTTTCAAGATTGACTTGAGCGTGATAATATTAAGAAAAACCTTTTGAGTTTCCGCCTCAACCTTTTAGTTTCCGCCTCAAGTCACATCTCACATGAGATTTTCATTCAAATGCCTCTAAGTTTATGCTTTTAGTGTCATTTGAGTATATTAAGTTAAGGCTTGACTTAATCTATTCCCAGAGGCTACTAACCAACCAACAAAAATTTCAGAACCCCTTTCCTTTTCTCAAGGTGGCTAAAGAAAAACCAGCAACCGGAAGTTACTAAGATACAAGGTACTGCAAAAAATTGATCTTGGTCAGGAAGTTTGTGATTCTTGATGTACAAGAGAACTCATACCAAAAAATATAATAAAATTAAAACACAATGTACACTAACATAAAAATAAGCCCAACACTATAAATTCTCAACCAAACAACACCAAACAAAAAAATTAAAATCTGATATGTATGACTAAAAAAAAAAATTAAATGTAATCCCCCTAAAAAAAACAATGGACTCAACTCAGATAGTAAAGAAAGAGACGTCAATTCTATCGATTATAACCCTAAACTAAAAAATATATTTAACATGATCAATTCCAGTCCTAAATAAGTGTTAAAAAAAAATTCAAAGTATATGACAAACAACACAAAGACACAATTTCTCTTCATATAATTCACAATTTTGAGGAACAATCCTAAAAAAAAATCCGCACAAACAGATAATAAAGCAAGTTTGGAACAAATAGTTCAATGCCCTAAACCAACCCAACTACAAAAAGAAAAACTATAAGAAGAACATACTTGAAGTCGAGACTCTTAAATTTCCTGTAAAAACGTCCTCGATTTGTTGTAGATTTTCACCAAGGTTGAAGACAAACAACAATAAAAAACGAACGCTTAACTATATAGAATTGAAGAAATTGGAGGAAGCATACGTTGACAACGGGTGAGGTTTCTAACTGCAAGTGTAAATATCAACTTTATGGGAATTGTTTGAGGCTGTTTTTGTCCCTACTATATATATAAAAAAGGGGAATGTGGAGGCACTGTATAAAGCAACAGTGTCTTGATCCATTTTTACTGTAGTAATTTTTTTTTTCCAATTTAGGAGCAAAAAACGACGCCGTTTGCTTGATATATATTTTATTTTATTGTACACTACCTCCAAATTTACTGTAACACGTAATTTCTATTCCTCCCCACTCCGATATAGATATATATAGTAGGGATATAAGAAAAATATCACTTTTATATTAAAAAATATATATAGAGAAAGATAATATGCTATAGAAATTTTTTTTTATAACATATTATTTGTAAATAAAAAATTTGAAGAGAAAAGAATTAAAGAGAAATATAAATTGAAAAAAAAATTATAACTAAAACTACACAGATAAAAAAAGGTAATATCTCCGTGCACGGAGCAAACACCTCCGTGCACGGAGGGGAAAAGGGGAAAAATTATTGTTGGAGCCTCCGTGCACGGAGACAAAATTTAAAGATTTTTTTTTTTTTACTTATATTTTTGTGTTCATTTTCACACTCATTATGGGATATCAAACGAAATCGAAATATTACATTCTTAATATCGTTTTGAAATACTCAAGGCATAGTATTGCACGTCGTTAACGATGCGTGAAACGGTCAATCAGTCAATCATAGCAAATGTTATGGGACGTCAAAGTAGGCATTTTCAAACAATATTTCGAAATTTTCGATAACAAGCTAACTTTAAAAATTCATCGACGATTCTACGATAATCGAATCAATAAATGTTTTACATTGTTTCGAAACTCATTTTGAGAACTATATCGTAGAGACATCAAATGATCTAAACAGATATCAAAAATACTTAAACGGACATTACACTTATGTGTTAAAAAATACGCATAAGTCGTTTTTCTTTAAACAATCAATTATTTTATTACTATTTAGAAATTTTCGATAATAAGCTAACTTTAAAAATTCGTCAACGATTGTACGATAGTCGAATCGACAAATGTTTTACATTCTCTCGAAACTCATTTTGAGAACTATATCATAGAGATATCGAATTATCTAAATAAATATCGAAAATAGTTAAACGGATAGTAAATATATGTGTTAAAAAATGCGTATAAGTCGTTTTTCTTTAAAAAATCATTTTTTTTTATTACTATTTATTATTTTTTTGCAACATTTTTCTCAATACATCATTTTGCTTAAAAAAATTATACGATATGATGTAAAAAAAATTTCAATTATTTAAAATTTCATTTTTTTTCAAGTGGCGAGCAAAAACGACGCGTTCCTCCATGCAAGAGTGCATGAATTTTTATTTTTTTTACATTATTATAGATATAGAAAACTAAAAAAAAAAAACTATATCATCGTAGTTGGATATATCTAATAATTTCAGACAATATTTAATTTTATAGTAATATTTTTAGTACTATTGAATTTTTTTAATTAAATTTATCTAAATATCACTTTAGATTAAATATTAACTCAAAGTTATATATATATATAGTATAAAGAAGTATTGATATTAGTTTATATAGTATAAAGAAGTATTGACTTTTATTTAAAAAAGAAAAAAATAAGAGGATCCGTGCACGGAGACCATGAGAGAAATGATTTTTTTTTTTTACTTATGTTTTTGTGTTTATTTTCACGCTCATTACGGGATATCAAACGAAGTCAAAATATTACATTCTTAATATCGTTTTGAAGTACTCGTGACATAGTATTACACGTCGTTAACGGTGCATGAAACGGTCAATTATAGCAAATGTTATGGGATGTCAAAGTAGACGTTTTCAAACTATATTTCGAAATTTTCGATAACAAGCTAATTTTAAAAATTCATTGGCGATTGTACGATAATTGAATCGATAAATGTTTTACATTCTCTCGAAACTCATTTTGAGAACTATATCGTAAAGATATCGAATGATCTAAATAAATATAAAAAAAGTTAAACGGATATTAAACGTATGTGTTAAAAAATACGCATAAGTCATTTTTTCTTTAAAAAATCAATTATTTTATTACTATTTCGAAATTTTTGATAACAAGCTAACTTTAAAAATTTTTCGACCATTGTACGATAGTCGAATTAATAAATGTTTAACATTCTTTCGAAACTCATTTAGAGAACTATATCGTGGAGATATTAGATGATCTAAATAAATATCGAAAATAGTTAAACGGAGATTAAACGTATGTGTTAAAAATACGTTTTTTCTTTAAAAAAATAATTATTTTTTTCTTTTTAATTCTTTTATCTTCCAAATAAAACTTAATTTTTCAATTTTAACGAAAACGTTATTTGTAGGTTAAAAAAATTGAAGAGAAAAGAATTTAAAAAAAAACTATATATAGTGTGGTTTCTGTGCACGGAGGATTATTCAAAAAAAAAATTTTGTACTTTTCCGTTCTCCATTTTCATACGCTATGGCACGCCTTTTCAAATTAACTCATTTGCTTATATTATTATATTATATATATAGTATAAGAGAGACAATGTGAATCTATGTAACACGCAACTTTCCATACCTCCCGCATTACTCCGTGCTGACCACTTTTATAAGTAAAAAAAAAAATCACTTTTAGTAAAAAAAAAATGTAAAAATAAACATATTAACAAAAAAAAAATTTCTAATACATGTAAAAATTACTTATATAAGTAAAAAAAATCGTTTAAAATTATTTAGAAGTAAAAAATAAAATAAAGTTATGAAAATTAAATGAAGAATATATAAATATTATTTAATTAAAATTAAAAATTTACTTTATAAATAATTGGTTTTTTTATCAATTTATTTAAATTTCTTTTTGATTCTTTTCTTTTTCAGATAAAATTTATTAATTTTTTTAAAATTCTTTTGCCCTACCAACCTTGGAGTTACTGTTGTATCATCCAAAGAATAGGTTTACTGTTAGGGTTATAATTCTTACACCAATAAGGGAGTTGGTCATCCAGTAAGTGCCACTTCAAGTTATTTTACGTGCAAACCTCAGTTTGTTATTTAAATATTTGTGTATGTGGATATTCTCTTTCAATTTACAACTGCATGGGTTATTTTTGAACTACAAGTATAGCCTCTCGAATCGAATTTGCTAAAGAAAAGCATTTTGCGAAATTCAATTTACAACTTATTTGCAATATCAGATAAAAAAAATCTTCATCTACATTAAACAAAAAATATAATAAATAATTAAAAATAAATTATCGTTGACATATATACAATCACAACATTCATTATACTTATTTATAAGAATAAAAATAAATTATCCTGACATAAAATATACAGTTGACCAAAAGATAAGAATCAAACAAACATTTCTTATTTCCAAATACTTTTTGTACAATCTATAAATTCTACGCTAATAAAACCAAAATAAATACAAAAATCGTGTAACGCGCGAGACGCAAACTAGTATGAGAAATGAGAGAGAACGGATGTAATTAGGGTTAAGGAGAAGAAAGTGGATGGTTTTGTCATTTTATATGCCAAAATAAGAAAATATCTAGATGCTAAATAGTCCAAACCGGTTAGGTGTGAAATGGATGTGCCAAAAATGAATACTAACTTAGGGATCCTCTCTTTTATAGTATGGATAATGCTAGATGTACATTCACTTTTTTATCGAATTTTTTACCTATACACACAATAGGAGGACGGGTCCCACATGCCGAAATTTTTAAATACATGCAGGGCTTGTGTGCATGTGAGAGTAAATAACCAACTCGGTAACCAAAATTCGGTACATTTATATTTATCCTTTATAGTATATATATACTAGTCGATGCCACTTGCGTTGCATGATTATTGTATTTAATGTGTCTTTATTAGCGTGATGTAGAGATTTTAGTTTTTTTAGCTGATTATGCTTTTGAAGTTAGAATTAATTTTTTTTGGCATGAATCTTATACGGTAGTTAGTAAAAATTAGAGTAGATTTAAAATTGTGGGAATATAAGTAAAAGATAATTTATAATTTTGCTTATTTTTCTTTATCTTTTGTTTTAACCAACTTTTCTTTAGATTATTTTATTATTTTTTTACATTGAAAATTGAAAACATTTTAAATGCATTTAATTATAGAGAGTGAGTTTGGCTCCAATTTTCTAAATTAAAATGTTAATTTAAAGAGTGTTTTGGAGGATAATTTTAAAGATTCGCTCTTTATTATAGAGATTATCTCATGTTTAAAGACTTTAGGCCTAAAGATATTTCATTTAAATAATTCTAAATATTAGAAATGGGTTCGGTTTCAAAGTGGGAATGTGGATTCTTATAGTTGAGATTGTCAAATTTCAGTGTGATAAGTTTGTTGTTATATTTAATTGGTAGTGTATGGAGTGGAATCGACTCTCATATAGCATATTTGTGTTTTGACACCGGATTCACGCTTACGGTATTTGGCAATTGTTTATCGTATTTGGCAGTTCAATTCACCGTATATGGCAGCTTATCGTATATGTCACGCAGCTCACCATATTTGGCAGCTTACCGTATATGCCAAGTAGCTTACCGTATTTGCACCTTACCATATTTACAGCTTACCATATTTGCAGAAAGCTCACCGTATTTGCACAAAATTTGCAGATAGTGTTTTTATTCATACACTAACTAAAATAACATAAATTTTTTTCACTTACAAATAGAAATACCGTATATGTGAAATACATATAACAAATTAGAAAAAAAGAATAGATTTATTTATTTATCTATTTCTAACATAATTGCACTTGTTATAGAGGATAAAAACAAACATGTCTCTTTATTGTAGGCAAAAGATAAATGCCAAAAAAAAGAAAAAATCTTGCAGAATGCCAAATGCAATTAATGTTAGTAACTATTTCATCAACCTACTTCATTTCTTCACCTCAAATTCATAACTCATTTTTCATCTGCATCTTCAATTCATTCATCTCAAATCTCAAACTAATTACAGTCTGGAATTAAGCAACAAATTCTAAGGTGAGTTGAT